AGACTAGATCGGTGGTATATTCAAGTAGCGAGCAAGGCATTAATCAGTGGGGTTACGACAAGAGAACCTGCCTGTAATTAGTACGGCTATGCCCTCGCGTTTTGGCACTTTTCATGGCCCTCTTCTCCTCGATAATGGTACCAGAATCGTCGGTGAAGTGCACAGACATCTAGTCAGCGTTAAAAATGCACTCTAACATCTCATCAAGTCCAAACTAGGAGACTTCCACGCGCAACTGGATTCGACAAGCAAAGAGACGTCGAGCCAGCTATGGGAGACTTTTAAAACCAACTTAAAAGCGGAGATGCGATCCCTAAAAAGGTAGCTAAACACAGAATGGTGTATGGATACAGACTAAAAATCAAGCGGCTCAAGCAGAAACTGGAGAAACTGGACTATGCCTCGGAAACCTGCTCGAGGGAACGAGACACCTCGAACTGCTGCAGGAAAATAGGAGAAGGTTGAAGACAAGGTTGATCATCGCCAGATCAGCGTGGAGCTCGAAGTCATCAACACGACACTTCTTCAAGAGGATTTTCCACCAAAATCGGAAATAATGTCATTCCAAGACTGAAAAGCCCAACCCAAAACATGGTACGTGGAGAAGATGACACGGCCGAGATATTGGCGGACAGCTGGACGCCGATTTTCAACAGGCCCTCAGAAGATGGCGAGTCGATGGCTAACTATGTGGCTACTATGGCGAGTCGGTGGGCACTGAAACTTTGGCCAGATTTGGATGAGGAAATTGACGCAGAGGAGACAAGGGATGCCATAGGGCCCTGTAAAGCAGGGAAAGCATGCGGACCGGATGATCTCGGGAACGAGTGGTACATGGATCATGTTGACGAGCTAGTTCCCATTTCTGTATAATGACTGTATGGACACGGGTGTCACTCCGAGAAGCTTTGGGGGAGCTTACTCTTCAGCATTGCAAAAGGAGGAGACACCAGTGATCCCCTAAATTATCGGCTGATAGCACTACTCAATTCCGATTACAAGATTTTTACAAGGATCTTAGCGAGACGATTCAGGAAACACATCGCAGACATGGTTCACAATACACAGTAATGCTTCGTACCGAACAGGTCAATTCACGAAGCTATCGACCTGTTCGAGGCTGCGAAAGCCCAGATACAACGAGAAGGAACCCCTCAGCATGCACAAGTCCTTTTGTTGGACTTCGCAAAAGCCTACGACTCACTGGATGGACGCTTCATGATAAGTGTGTTGGAAGCAAAAGGAGTACCACCGAAGACGTGCAGGGTCATACGAGCTCTACACAATGACACCACGGTAAGATTTATGGCCAACGGATATCTTTCGAGAGCAGTGGGCGTGACGAGTGGGATCCGACAGGGGTGTCCGTTAGCGCCCTTACTCTTTATCATTTCCGTAGACCTGCTGTACGATGAAGTGGAGAGGAATTCCCAGCTGACAGGAATAAATCTACATGCTCAGGACAATGATTGGGCGGGCGCGATGAAATTGCAGGTCGCAGTGTATGCAGATGATACGGCAATCTACTTGGCTGACAGTGCCATGCGGACAGAAGCAATTGAGGCAGTTGCTGCTTTCTCGGTGGTCTCGGAGCTTTGGTTGAACGTGGATAAGTCGAAGGCAATTAGGCTCGGAGGAGAGCAGGTGGAAAGCACCCACAACGACAGTGCGGCACAAAACAACGTGGTGGAAGAGGTTGAAAGCACCAGATACCTAGGGCATATTGCTGGTATGGGAGATACATGTTCACTGGTATGGAACACAGCTTTGGAGGCCACTCGCGTACGATTGGCTTTAGCGGAGGTGAAGACCAACTCGGTACATCCGAGAGCAACAATTGCAGCGGCGGTCATCATCCCTAAGTTGTTGTATGTGGGCA